ACCCCACTGCCACAACTCAACCTGATGCTGCTTGTTCTGGTTCTGAAGCTGCAGCTGCCACGTCATTATCACCATCTGGGGCTGCTGACGTGGCACCCCCATCTCGGTGCGGCGGCCAGTTGTGCATCGTGATTGATGACGTGTCGCTTCTGGAGACGTGCGCGGGCGGCGATTCTCGGCTGGCTATGGACTTTCTGTCCGCATGCCGTGGCCTGCGCACTAAGCACCATGTGAGCAGTCTCAACAACAATGTACACTTAGTGTCACTTTCGCACATGTAGCATCATTGCACCCATGTTATACCTTCTTTTGCTCCCCCCTCCCGTCCAGCCCATTCTGCTAGATCTTGTAACCTCCTATTTCTTCTCTCCTGCTACCACGATCCCCCCCGCACCCCCCCTTCCTCTCCCTGTCCTTCCAGAGGGCTTCTCTCGTGCTGCTCACCCATGCAGCCGTCCACCCAACCACCTTCACCACGGCTGCAACCCCACCTCCGCCACTCCCCACCCTTTCCTCCTCTTCCTCCTCTTCACCCCCCATCACCTCCCCCCTCTCCTGCCCTCGCTACTGCACTTCTCTGACGTGCTTGTCTCTCACACTCTTCTCTCTGCCCTCACTTTCCCTCCCTCCGTCCCCTTCCTTTCCAGAGAGCCTCTCTCGTGCTGCTCACCCATGCAGCCGTCCACCCAACCACCTACACCTTCGCTGCACCCCCACCACCGCCGCTCCCCACCCTGTCCTCCTCCTCCTCTTCCTCCTCCCCCATCGCCTCTCCTCCTCTCCTGCCCTGGCTGCTCCACTTCTCTGACGTGCTCGTGCTGCTGAGACCACTCACATCAGGCCATGCATCAGATGTTCACGGGCAGGTGAGGTTGTTCAAGGGCAGGTGAGGTTGTTCACGGGCAGGTGAGGTTGTTCAAGGGCAGGTGAGGTTGTTCACGGGCAGGTGAGGTTGTTCATGGGCAGGTGAGGTTGTTCACGGGCAGGTGAGGTGGTTCACGGGCAGGTGAGGTTGTTCACGGGCGATGAGGTTGTTCACGGGCAGGTGAGGTTGTTCACGGGCAGATGAGGTTGTTCACGGGCAGATGAGGTTGTTAAGAGCAGCTCCCACCATACATCAAGTAGCCTCGAGACCTCTTACCCTTCACTTGCTTGTTCATATCTCTCTACGCTACTGCTTGCACAGGAGGAGGAAATACACTTGTAAGAACAACAACATACAAACAATGGTTAGATTCTGGAAATATGCCCCCTATATCTTCATATGCCCTCCACACTCCCTCGCTCCCATTCACTCCCTACTCTCCCTCCTCCCCCCCCGCCCACTCGCACACTGCCGCACTGGCTGACTTAATGAGTCGACTGTAGAAGCCACGCTTCTGCGCAGCAGCTCATCATACAGAATGATGCGCGCTAACTCCCCCTTTCTTCCTGTTCCCATTCCCCACTTTCCCCTCCTGCCGTGCCAGGTGAACAGTGTTCATCTCACACGCACACTGCCGAACAACCCATCATACGCGGATGATGCAGCACTAACGCTCGCTCCCCATGTTCTCCCTGCCCTGGGGAGACCATGTCATTGTGCTTGCTGCCCTCTCGCTCCTCCCCTTTGCCACACCAGGCGGACATTGTCCATCTCACACCCACGCTGCTGCACGGCTCATCTCGCGGAGATGGTGCATCCCTCCCTCACTCCCCGTGCTCTCTCCCCCCCCCCCCCCCCCCCCCTAACCTTCCCCCTTTTGCCATGCCAGGCGGACATTGTGCATCTCACACCCACACTGCTGATCAGCTCAACACACACCCCACTCCCTGCCAGCAGCTGACGCTTCCTCCGCTTCCTGCACCCTGTACTCTCTCTCTCCCACTCTTTGCCATGCCAGGCGGACATCATGCATCTCACACCCATGCTGCTGCAATGCCCATCGCAGGGGAATGACGTACACCACCCTCCCTGCCAGCAGCAGCACCTGGTGTATCAAATCGCGGACACTGGCGCTGTGTTTGCTGCCACTCAGTAGATAACACTCAGAAACACGTTGAGGGTGCGAGCTTACCACCACTGCAAGCAGCGCCACTACCATTCTCCCTGCCAGCAGTGACACGTGGTGTATCAAATCATGGATTCTGGCTCCATGTTTGCTGCCACTCAATGCATAACACTTTTGAGGCGCCTCAAAAGAACACCATGAGCTTGCAAAGATGACACACCACCGCACTCCCTGCCAGCAGTGACATGTGGTGTATCAAATCTCAGATACGGTACCAGTGCCGTGTTTCCCGCCACCCATTACATAAGACTCACAGCACCAGGTTACCACCTGTGCCAGCAGCACCACTGCCGCCCTTCCTGCCAGCAAAATCATCAGGTGGATCAAATCGCAGATGCTGGCGCGGCGCCTTGTTGCGCTACCACTTATTGAGATGGATATGGATATGCTAGCATACCAGTAGTACTCACACAGGGCGTTGCATTGCCAGCCCGTCCTGCCAGCAGCAACATCAGGTGTATCAAATCGTGGACTGGCACCGTACTTGCCGCCAGCCACTCATTAGGCAGGAGTCAGAACACCTTGAGAGTGCATAGTGTCAGAATTGAAAGTGTTGGTTTCATTAATGCAGGTTGGGGTACATATAACAAACCCTAACATTTGTACCCCCTAAGACAAACCTCACTACAGGCTACAACATTTGACACACCCCCATAGCCTAAGTGAGGGGTGTCAAGCAAAACCAAAAGTGTACGGTCACAAGACCAGTCTGAAAGAAACAAAGCTCAGGGTGGATCACAACATCACCACACACTCTGAGCACAAGCAAAGGGCCACAAGGCCAGTCCAAAAGTTCACAGAGGTATATGGCAAGTGTACAAGCAAAGCAAACAGTAAACTTGAGCCTACGCAAGACGAGAACCAGTGTCAACAAGGCCTAACTGCACACAACACCTGTGGTGGTCACAAGGCGGAAGCGCCTTGGTGAAGATGTCTGCAGTGTTGGCCTCGGACTCCACAAAGTCGAAGCGAGCCTGTCCATGTCTCTACAACTCTCGCAGAAGAAAGTACCTGACGTTAATGTGCTTCACTCTGCTCTCCAGTCGCGGCTCTCGACAGAGGAGAATCGACGCCTTGTTGTCAGTGAACAAGGTCGGTGCAGAGCTCGGCCGCTCACCAAGGTCGGCGAGCAAGAAGGTCAACCAGCGCAGCTCCTGTGCCGCCATGGCACCAGCATAGATATCATCCTCAGCAGTAGAGGTCGAGACCGAGGAGGAACGCGTGGACCTCCAAGAAACAGCTCCAGAACCCAGACTGAAACAGTACCCCTGAGTAGACCTGTGAGTCTCAGCATCGTCAGCGTAAGAAGAGTCACAGTGACCAGTAAGTACGACAGACTGCTGCCCTCCAAGAACGAGCCCTACGCCTGATGTCGTCGCTAGGTACTTCGCCACCCTCACAAATGTTGTCTAGTGAACGGGACGGTGTCTCCCTGGCGCAACAAAGCGAGCAAGGATGCTGAGAGGGTAGGCGAGGTCCGGGCGAGTACAGGTCACCAGATACATGAGGCAGCCCACCAGCTCTGCGTAGGGACCACTAGGCTCAAACGGCTTGTCAGGAAAGGGTCCAGTGAGTCTGTGGTCAACAGCAAGAGGTGTGCGCTGTACTGTGGAGTGTTAAAGCCCGAACCGCTGAAAGACCTGCTGCACCATATGTGACTGTGAGAGTGTAATGATGCGAACGGCTCTGTCCCTGGTGATCTGCAGGCCAAGGTAGTGGCGCAGCTCACCTAGGTCAGTGCACGTGTGTCTCTTCTGCAGTTCGGACTTCACGTCAGCCAAGGCAAGATTGTCAGCAGTAGCGAAAACCAGGTCGTCGACGTAAACCAGAACAAAGAACGGTGTGGAACCACGACGAACGAACAGTGACGGGTCGGCAGAAGACGGCTGGAAACCAAGGTCAGACAGGGTAGAACGAAGGGTGTCGTGCCACTCACGAGGAGCCTGACGGAGACCGTAGACCAGTCGCCTCAGTCTCCACTGGGTCCCAGGAGGGAAAGTGCCAGTGAAGGCAGAGGGACGACGCAGCCAGACCTCCTCGTGTAGGCTACCCTGAAGGAAAGCAGTAGAGAAGTCGAGGGAGTGTAACTCGTAGTCTCTCTGTGCTGCTACATGCAGTAACACCCGAAGAGTGGTCATCTTCGGGGTAGGCGCGAAGGTCTGAAAGAAGTCAACTCCCTCGCGCTGACTGAAACCTCTAGCCACGTAGCGCGCCTTGAAGACCGGAGGAGATCCCGGTGGCCGCTTCACCCTGTAGATCCACATGTCATCGATTACGTTTGCCCCAGGGGGGGGAATCTTGTCGACGTAGGTGTCTGTGGATCTGTAGGAGGCCATCTCTGCGTCCATGGCAGCTCTCCACTGAGAGGCCCAAGGCCCTGACACTGCCTCAGTGTAAGTTTGAGGAGTCGGTATGTGAAGGGCGTCGGGGTCTCCCTCAGGGGAGAGGAGCATGGCACAGAGATGAGGGGAAGCGGCTGCCAGGAACTCTAGCTCAAACTGCCTGTCCTCTAGGGCGTCACAGCCAAGGGCAGACACACCCCCGACGGCCAGAGGACTGGTAGGAGGAGCAGCCACAAGACTGGTGGCGTAGTCAAGGCGGCGAGTAGAGGCAAACTCAGTGACTGCGGCAGTAAGAGCGGACACAGAGGACAGAGAGGCACGAGGGTGGGTAACAAGAGAGGCGAGAACACGAGAGAGAACAGGACGGTACGTGCGGTAGTAGTCAGTGACAGGAGTAGAGAGGGAAGCAGTGAGGGCCGACTCAGGGGGAGAAGGAAGCACAGACAGAGAGGAACGAGGCAAACTAGGACGAAACAGGGCAGTCCGAAGGTCAATGAGAGCGACAGGGGATGAGGGATGAGCACGAAGAGAGCGACGAGAGGGCCAAGTCTGAGAAGGAGGAGGAGACAACTGAGGGGGAGAACGAGGGAAAACAGCCGGGGAGGAGTCAGGAGCAGGAAACGTGCGACCGTAGACAGGAGGAGAGGGGGAGGAGGAAGGAGAGCGAGAGGGGAGACCGAGGGTCCGAAGACCAGAGACAGGAGGAGGAGGCAACTGCTGTTGCTCCAGCTGCGGCGGCTGCTGCTGCTCCTGCTGCTGCTGCTGCTGCTGTTGCTGCTGCTGCTGTTGTTGTTGCTGCTGCTGCTGTTGCTGCTGCTACTGCTGCTGCTGCTGCTGCTGCTGCTGCTGCTGTTGCTGCTGGTGCTGCTGCTGCTGCTGCTGCTGCTGCTGCTGCTGCTCCTCCAGCCGCTGCAACTCTCGCTCCTCTCTCTCCAACTCCAGCTGCTCCTCACGGGCACGGCGAACACGAGCCTGGGGCCGAGTTGGGTAGGGGTGGGGAGGAGGAGTAGTGTCCGGGGCCGCAACAGTCTAAGGACTGCCCTCCAGAGCACCAGGCGCACCACCCCCAGAGTCAGCACCAGGAACAACAACACGACCACGCTCACCAGAACCCGCACCCCCAGACGCAGCACCCCCAGACGTAGCACCAGCTCCCAGAAGAGTAGAGTCGTCCGCAGCCACGGGCTCAACCTGAACTCCAGCACCCCCAGAACCAGGACCCGGCACAGGTACGCTCTCTGCTCCCACTCCAACCCCTCTAGAGTCAGCGCCTGCAGGGTCCTCTCCACGAACGCCGGCTCCCGCGGGGTGTGCAGTAGGCTGCGAGAAGGACTGCGGGGAAGGAGGCTGCACCTGAGGGGCTACCTAGTGGGGAGGGGTAGTGTGGGACACACCTGACGGGGCTTGACCAAGGGGGGGAGGCTGTACTGGGGGAGCAGGAGGGGGAGCGGAAGTCAGGAAGAGAGGGGGAGGAGGAACCGGGAGACCTCGACAGGGGTACCTGACGTAGTAGGGGGTGGACTCCTCAAAACGGACGTCACGGGAGTAAAAAAACCAGTGAGAGGGAGGGTGGTAAAAAGTGAAGTCAGAGGAGTCCTCAGGGAAACCAAGGAAGACACAGGGAACGGCGCGAGGCGAGAGCTTGTCCGCGGAGGTGTCGCGAACAAGAGCCAAGCAACCCCAGACACGAAACCGCGACGCAACACCAGGGGACCCAGTCCAAAGACTGGTCGGTGAAGCCTCTGGCCGAGAGACACGTGGCCAGAGGTTCAGCTGGTGAGCGGCGTACCGAACCGCGTAGGGCCACAGAAAATAGGGGGTTCGGGCATGAGTCAAGGAGGTGCAGGCGAAACCAAGCCTATGCGGCGCTCAGCAACCCCATTCTGCTGTGGGGACTCCGGAAGCGTCCAAGAATGACGAATGCCCTGCTCGCGACAGAATCCAGCGAGAATGCCGGAGCGAAACTCACCCCCACGGTCGGAGTGAAGACAGCTGACACGACGACCACGAGTGTCCTCAGTTGTTAGCAGCCACCTGATCAGCGTAAAAATTACCTCAGACTTCTTCGCCAGGGGAACACCATGGTGTAGCGGGAGTAGTCGTCAACAACCACCAGAAAGAAACGCTCACGCTCAGGGCCAGGGCGAGGGGCGGGGCCCCAGACGTCCAAGTGGAGTGTCTCAAAAGGCTGGGTGGCTGGACAAAGGGAGGAGGAGTGAGAGGTGGCGCGCAGCCGACCCTCGACGCAAGGACCGCACGGTGGCGCAAGGGACGGCGGCAGCGACGGCAAGACACGCGGGAGGCCTAGGACAAGACGCTGACTAGACATAGTGCGCAGGCGAGGAATGGACGGGTGCCCCATCCGGTGGTGCCACAGAACGGTGGGGTGGGCAAGAGACCGGCAGGAGCAAGACACGGCAACTGGACCAGACACGGGAACCTGACCAGACACAGCTACCTGGGGGGACGCAGCAACCTGGTGAGACGCAGGGACTAGACATGGGGCAGGGACAGGAGCTGGGGGCAGTAGCCGCCGCTGCTGCTGCTGCTGGCGCGGCTACTGCTGCTGCTACTGCGGCTGCTGCCCTCGGGGGCTAGTGTGAAGTGTGTAGAGGCTGTAGCCCTCCTCAGCAGAAAAGGTGGCTAGAGGCGTGTACGAGTCCCCGTCCACACAAACCGCAGTCTCGCCAGAGGGCTCAACCCACACACCCACGTGCTGACTCGCGAGAGGCCTCACACCCACCAAGTTCCTCGAGAACGAGGGGACGTAGAAACCCGTCAGCGAGCCCGACGGAACAGCTGGGTACGGAAGCGTAGTAGTGTAGCGAGTAGTGACTGGTCCCGAAGTGGGATCAGCCAGTGCTACAGAGACCGGCGCAGGAAGTGGTGTAAGCATCGTGTGGTCGCGGAAGAAACAGTGCGAAGCTCCAGAGTCCAGAGTGAAAGACAGCGAAGCGTCCTCCGAAGCAGCTCCTGGACTAGTGTCTACACAAGTACCTACACTAGCAACAGGCACCTCAGCAAGACTAGCACCTAAGCTAACAACACTCGAGTAAACAGAGTCAGAAGCACTAGAGTCAACAACAGCATACATAGCATGAGGAGTTCCTAAGAGATCAACTAACTGAGAAGCCGACATGCCCCACAGAGCGGGGCCGTACGTCTGAACAAGAGGAAACCAGTCAGGGGCAGGGCCGCCAACGCCGAAGGCCAAACGAACCGTGTCAGTAAGCTGAGCAAAGCACTGACCAGGAGGGTGAGTGCGGCCATACGGCTGGCCTCGGCGAGCACCTGCCAAAACCGGATTGGTGCAAGGAGGGTGAACAACACCTTGCTGGAGCTGACGCTGGCCCGACCCCGAAGCCTGCTGCTGCCGCTGCTGCTGCGGGGGGTGCGGCGAGGGGAGCGGCTGCTGCTGCTTCCGCTGAGTCAGGTACCACGCCGCCACTCCACCCACTGCGGCCGGTAGAACAGGAGGCAATTGACGAACTCGGGAGTCGCCACCACCAGCTGCAGCAGGGGAGTCACTGGCCGCTGCACGAGACGCCTCTCCAGGCCCTGCACTCCCACCACCGCCAGTCGCGACTCCAGTCCCACCACATCCGCCTCCACCGCCGCCGCTGCCCGCACTCTGACCGCCCCTCTTGCCACCCCGTCCTACCTCGAGACCGCGATGAAGTCGTAGCAGCAGCTGCGTTACGTCAGTAGCGGCAGTGGCGAGAGAGGCAGTAAAGGTGGGCAGCTGTGGGACAGTGCACCCGTGAAACAGCGGAGGGGGCATAGCACCAGAGGCGGCGGCAACAGAGTGAAGGTTGCTCTCGACGTCCTTGAGTGCTGACTCAAGGACCTCGATAGTGAGCTCACTAGGGTGCTTCAGAAGAAGCGCGTCACGAACCGAGGCAAGGCGGTCAGGGAGGCTAGTGGCAATGAAGTAGATAGTAATCGCCATGGGGGGGGGGGGGGGGGGAAGCAGTGCAAGCTGTGCGCCAGTGCAAGCAGTGCGGTAGCTAGAGTCGAGCAAGCGCAGGTGAGCGATCAAGTCAGCAGAGCGCTCAAACGAGGCGAGATCAGGGAACAGGAACGGTAGGAAGAGTCGGCCAAGAGAGACAGTGGTGGGAGTAGCGTAGCGGGCCTTAATCGCAGTCAGGTACTCGCTAGCAGTGCGAACCTGAGTGAAGTGGGCCTCCTCAGACTCAGGAAGGAGGTTGCTGAGTGCGATGCAGGCCGCAGCGTCACGCGACGTCCACGCCGTCAGGTCAGCACGCTGGCGGGCAAAGTGGTCTCTGGCGGCGGCGTCAGGGTCAGAGCCTAAAGGCGTAGGGTCGGGGGGCGCAGGGAGGACACCACTAGCGTGGGCCCAGAGGGTCTCGCCCGACTGAACCTAACTCTCTAACAAGCGACGCGCGCGGAGGAGCCAGACCGGAAACTCGAGTGGAATACTGTCAGCGTCAAAACGAAGGACCCGAGGGGTCGCCATAGCGAAAATAGAAGCAACTAGATCGGTATGTCGTAGTGCGGCATGAAGAGAGGGCCCGCGACAGGTCTATCGAGCAGACGCGTCGGCGGGCGGAACGGGCAGGCGCGGCGACTGCAATAGAGGGCCCGCGGCAGGCCAAGCAAGCTGGCGCGGCGGTGGGGAAAGCATGCAGGCGCGGCGGCCAGCGTGACACGCGGGCGCAGTAAGTAGGGCGGGCGGGAAGAGAGGGCGCAGGTAGGGCGGGCGGGTAGAGAGGGCGCGGGTAGGGCGGGCGGGTAGAGAGGGCGTGCGTAGGGCGGGCGGGAAGAGGGCGCGGGTAGGGCGGGCAGGAAGAGAGGGCGCGGGTAGGGCGGGCGGGGAGAGAGGGCGCGGGTAGGGCGGGCAAGTAGGGCGCGCGGGCGCAGCGGAAAGGGCGCGGGTAGAGCGGGTAGAGCGACGCGACGGGCAGCCGGGGGGCGGGGGGGCTCGACCCGATGGGCGTGACGGGCGACGGGCGACGGGCGCGATGGACGACGGGCGACGGGACGCGACGGGCGACGGGACGCGACGCGACGGGCGACGGGACGCGACGCGACGGGCGACAGGCGCGACGCGGCGGGCAGCGGAAGAGGGCGCAACGCGACGGACAGGGTGGGAGAGTGCGACGCGACGAGCAGTAGAAGAAGGGCGCGACGCAATGGGTAGCGGGGGAGGTCGCGACGCGACTGGCAGCAGGGGAAGGTGCAACGCTAGGCTAGTCGGCGTAGCGGGCTCTAACGAGCGGGCGAGGCTAGATCGGGCCAGCGCTAGGCTCGGGCAAGACGTGTACAAAGGGTACGAGAGAACGAGATAGGCTCGGGCGGAACGAACGTGAACGGGAGGAGCGGGATCCCATAGGATCCGAACCTAGGTGATACCATGTCAGAATCGAAAGTGTTGGTTTCATTGATGCAGGTCGGGGTACATATAACAAACCTTAACATTTGTACCCCCTAAGACAAACCTCACTACAGGCTACAACATTTGACACTAAGGTACCCCACTGCCAGCAGCACCAATCCCACCCTCGCTGCCAGCAAAAGCAACTGGTGTATCGAATTACAGACCCCGACATCATGTTTTGCTGCCGCTAATGTACCGTAAATGGAAAGATTCAAAAGCTCAGGTGTTCATGGTCAAGTGTTCTCGGTAGGTCCGTTTTTGCATCTAGGAAAAGATACTGTCAAACATTGTATATGTTATATTTGTGTAGGCTGTAGTGGGTTAGCCTATAGGGGGGTCACAACATTAGGGTTTCATATTTGTACTCACAGTCCTTTCTAGTTCACCATTCCAGTCTGTTGTTCCGACATGGTTTCAGAGCAGGTCCTTCGCTAGGACCGTTTTTTTTTTAAGGGCCCACCGCTACCTAACTCCCTACCTACCTACCTACCTACCTAGGGCGCCTCGACTTTTTTTTTTTTCGGCCCCTAAGCACTAGCGACCCGCGACCCGCCCCTTAAGGCCCCGTCGCGCCGCCCCTTAAGCCCCGTCGGCCCCGCGTTCGCCCCTTACGGCCCCGCCGCGCCGCCCCTTAAGGCCCCGCGATCGACCCGCCGCTCGCCCCTTAGCGACCTAGTCGGCCCCGCGATCGCCCCTTCAAACCCGCTGCCGCCCCGTGCACCGCTTACGCAGCCCGCGCTAAGCCCGTGCAACCTGCGCACCGCCCGCGCACTGCCCGCGCACCGCTCGCGCCCCACTTCGCGGCCCCGCGGCCCCGTCGCCTACGGGCTCGCGCACGCCTTGCTGCCCGCAGCCGCTCGTACGCCGCTGCTTCCGCTGCTGCTTGCGCACCGCTGCCTCCCGAGCGCCGCCGCTGCTCGTGCGCCGCCGCTGCCCCTACGCTCCCGCTGCCAGTGCGCCGCCGCTGCCCGTGCGCCGCTGCCGCCTGTGCGCTTCTGCAGCCGCCGCCCGCGAGGCACTCACTCTCACAGTTTTTATTTTCTACCTACCGCGCACACTGCTGCCACTGCAGCTGCCACCAGTGCGCCGTTGCAGCTCCTGCTGCCACGCTACCTACTACTGCCGCTCGTGTGCCACTACGGACAGTCGACCCCGCCCGCGCCTTACCTAGCGGCCCCGCCGGCCCCGTTGACCCTCCGCACACCTTTCCAGCGGCCTGATTCCTACTACTACTGTTACTACTGCTACTGCTACTGTCACTATGGCTAGTCCTCCCGTTCTAGCTTTCGATGCCGAGGGCCGTCCAGTGAAGTTCGAAACCTGGCTAGATGACCTGCACCTGTTCCTACAGCTCACTGCCAAGGAAGATATCTCACTGTACGACCACGCCCTAGGCCATGCCACTGCCCCTGACTCGTCTGCTGACAGCACTCTGCGTTCCCAGTGGCAGACCCGTGATGCGCACGCTCGCTTTGCTATTCGCAACTCCCTGCCGCTAGACGAGCGCGAGCACTTCGGCCAGTGCAAGACTGCTAAGGACCTCTACACAGCTGTAGTTGCCCGCTACTCCTCACCCGCTTCTGCCACGCTAGGCCGCCTCACTCTCCCCTACCTGTTCCCCGACCTAGCCTCCTTTCACACTGTCGCAGACCTCATCACCCACCTTAAGACTAGTGAGGCCCGCTTTCGCGCTGCTATGCCTGCCGAGTTTCTCACTAGCAACCCCCCCCCGCTCTGGATCACTCTCTACCACATCGTCACTCGCCTCCCTGACTCTCTACGCGCAGTCAGGGACCATTTCCTCTCTCGCTCCCCCACTGAGCTCACTGTTGCCCTCCTCGAGAAGGAACTGCTTGCAGCTGAGGCGAGTATCGTCGCTGTAGGCACCTCTCGTGGCGACCCCCGCACCCCGTTCTTTGAGGGGTGTTCCCCTTCCCCCCTCCTCCCCTCTGTCGCCTCTGCTGCTGCTGTCGACCTCCTTGGTGCTGAGAAGGTCGGGACCGCGTCTGCTTCGAGCGGGCGCCGCAGGAACAAGGGAGGCAGGGGTGGGGGTGGCGGCGGAGGAGGTGGGGGTGGAGGCGGTGGGAGTGGAGGCGCGGCTGAGGAGGCCAGTGGCGGCAGTGGGGGAGGAGACAGCAGCGGCGGGAGTGGTGGCAGGGGCGGAGGCGGCAGCGGGGGCGGAGGTGGTCGTGGTGGCGGCAGGGGTGGAGGTGGCCGGGGCGGAGGCGGTGGGGGTGGTGGTCGTGGAGGCACTGGCGGAGGGCAGAGTCAGCAGCCCGCCCCGACGCTTCAGGCCGCCCGTGAGTGGTATGCGCAGCGTGGCTTTACCTGCACGTACGTCATTCGCACAGGTGACCGCAGCGGCCAGCAGTGTGGGAGGCCGCACCCCACGCAGCGCTGCTTCGCGCGCCTTACCGACGCGTGGCGCACCCAGTTTCCTGCTGCCACTGAGCTGCCGCGCTGGGCTGACCTGGAAAAGAGGGGTGTTGATATTTGGGCTCTAGACTTTGATGCTATTCTCACTGCCATGTATGCGATGTCTATTAGTGGAGAGGGTGCTCAGTACTTGCGTGTTCCGCCCGACCCGGGCATTCAGGCCAGTCCGGCCGCCGCGCTAAGTGCTAGTGCGTCCGCTCCCACAGGTCCTGGTGAGGCTGCTGCCCTAGGTGCTAGTGCGTCTGTGCCCCTTGGTACTGAGTCGACTGCAGCACTGCACACCTTCACCCTGGACTCAGGTGCTTCTCGCTCTTTCTTTCGTGACCGTACTGTCCTTGAGCCACTCGCTCGGCCAGTTGCTGTCTCCCTTGCTGACCCCTCTGGGGGTCCGGTCATTGCGACCTCCTCCACTGTCCTTCCTTGTCCTGCGGTCCCGTCCGGCACGCTGTCAGGTCTCTACCTCCCCTCGTTCTCTACGAACTTGGTGGCGGGTTGTGCGCTCCAGGACTCGGGTGTTCACCAGTTCACCCCTGCCTACGAACGCGTGACACACTGCACGTGTGCTCGGACGGGTCGCCACCTGGCTACTTTCACTCGAGAGCCGGGGTCGGACCTGTACACACTGACCACTGAGTCCCCTCAGGTAGCTGCGTCTGCGTCTACGTCTGCGTCTGCGTCAGGTCAGCTGTCCGCCCCCTGCTCGTGTCGCTCTCTGGCGCATGAGACTGTCCTTTGGCACCACCGCCTTGGTCACCCGTCTGTGCAGCGCCTTCGGGCCATGCACAAACGGGACCTTGTTGCTGGTCTTCCCAGGGTGCTCCCTCCCCTTCCCGACTCGCCTGCTCCTCCCTGTCTTCCCTGTGTCGAGGGGCGGCAGCGCGCCGCTCCTCACTCCTCCTCCTTTCCCCCGACGACTGCTCCTTTGCAGACGCTCCACATGGACGTGTGGGGCCCAGCCCGCGTCCATGGTCAGGGTCAGGAGAGGTACTTCCTGATTGTTGTTGACGACTTCTCGCGCTACACCACGGTCTTCCCCTTGCGCACCAAGGGTGACGTCCCTGATGTCTTGATCCCTTGGATCCGCAGATCTCGTCTCCAGCTTAGTGAGCGTTTTCGCTCCGACTTCCCTGTCCTGCGTCTGCACTCTGACAGAGGTGGAGAGTTTTCCTCTGGCCTCTTGGAGGCCTTCTGTCAGCAGGAGGGCATTGAGCAGTCGTTCACGCTTCCGGCCTCTCCACAGCAGAATGGGGTTGCTGAGCGCCGCATTGGCTTGGTCATGGAGGTCGCTCGTACCTCCTTGGTTCATGCGGCTGCCCCCCACTTTCTGTGGCCGTTTGCAGTCCGATACGCTGCGCATCAGCTCAACCTCTGGCCCCGTGTCTCCTTGCCCGAGACTTCTCCGACACTGCGTTGGACGGGAGAGGCCGGCGATGCGTCGCGTTTTCGGGTCTGGGGATCCCGAGCTTTTGTCCGCGACACGTCCGCGGACAAGCTCTCCCGTCGCGCTGTCCCCTGCGTCTTCCTTGGCTTTGTCCCGGACGCCCCTGGTTGGCAGTTCTACCACCCCACCTCGCGGCGTGTCCTGGCCTCTCAGGACGTCACTTTTGACGAGTCCGTCCCCTACTACCGCCTCTTCCCCTACC